CCCCCCGGCGCCCGCCGCGATGCATCCCGCCCTGGGGAAGAACCCCCGCGCAGACACCATTCATCCGGCTCGGCCCTCCGACAGCCCTCTGCGGTCGCCGGGCGCACTCCCCTTGTCCCGCCGCACCTCGGATGAAATCCAGACTCCTTTCCTGAGCATGCAGAGCCCCCCCGCATGTTCCTGCCGCCGTCTGCCTCTCCAACCCCTTTTCCTAGCCCTCTCGCTCGCTCTGCGCCGGCCGCACTGGCTTCATGACAAGTGTCTAGAAAACTGCACGCTCACTGCCCTCTCAAGCTCTTAACCTATTCCCTCTGCCTGCTTTGCTTTTCTCCCAGCTTTCCTGGCTGCCTCTTCTCATCCTTCAGGTCTCAGCCGAGATGTCACCGCCTCGGAGAGGCCTTCCCTGACCACCTTAGCTAGAGCAACTCCTCTTTTTCTGGATTCTCTTTTATTCTCTATTCTGTTTACTTCCTTCATGGCCCTTATCACAATTTGTAATATTGTTTCTTTGCTTTCTTTACTTAGTGTCTGCCTCCTCCATAAAGTGAAAGCTCCATGAGGGCAGGGACCATATCTGCTTTGTTCCCTGATGCATCCCCAGCACCTAAGGCAGTCCTCCCAGGAGGAGCATTCAATAAATATTTATCCAATAATGGAATCGATGAATTTAATGAGTCTTTGGTCACACAGCCAAGGGAACAGATTGAACCCTGCCTCTATGCAGGGATTTCGAGACAGGGCCACTGCGTGATCCTCAGGTATTTGAAAGACTGTCCTTTTTTAGGAGCTCGACTTGTTCTTTATGGCTCCTTAAGGCAAAATTAGGACCAGCGGGTAGAAAGGATGGAGGCAGATAATCAGCTCACTATCCAAATGAAAATCATAACAGATGGAATTTGTTAAAAGTTGGAGGGGGGCTGCTAATTGAGGCAGTGAGTTCCCCACCACCGGTGGTGTGGAAAAGGCTGTTAGAGAAGTTGTAAAGAGGTTCCTGCACTGGCTAAGTTGAACGAGAAGATTAGGGCCCTTTGGGATGCTGAACGTGCTGTGGTTCTCTGCCCCCATCCCTGCTTCCTGGGACCAGGCCAGCCGTGTGACTGCCTCCCTTCCCTGCGGGCAGCAGCAGAGCAGCTCCGGCAGAAGGACCTGAGGATTTCCGAGCTGCAAGCTGATCTCCATCGCCCACCCCCTGCCCCTGCCCAGCCCCCTGAGCCTGAAGCCCTGCCTACTATCTATGTTGTTACCCCCACCTATGCCAGGTACGGGCTCTGGTGCACCCAAGAGGCCTGCATGGACCAAGAGGTTGGGGTTGATGAGGAAAAGTCTGGGGAGGCACTGGGCAAGGGGGTGTTCCTCAAACTAGAACAGGATAAATGAACCACATCTTTACTCAAAGATTTGTGGGGAAATGGTTATTTTCTAGTAAAACAGATGGGTGTACTGTGAAGTAGAATGCAAAATTCCTGAGAAACTTTAAGATAGAAAAATAAAGTTTCAAAGAAATTTGGAGCTTGCCAATGAGTTTACTCTCTCCTTAGGTATTCTTCCGTGAGAAAGTTTGAGAACCCCTGACTCAATTGAAGTAGAAAGGGCTTGGCCCTGTAGTCATTCCAGAGTCTAGAAATAGTTACACTAGCTGTAATTTACAGTGTGTTTACTCTTAGGAGGCACTGTGCTTTACTTTTTTAAAAAATTTTTTAAAATAAAATGTAGCCTTATTACTGATACAAACCAACTGAGGATGGGGTTTTGGATCTGCAGCCCAAAGGCCTGCTAACAATAGCTCCTTGGAATCAGATGGCCGAGCCATAGGCACAGGCAGCTCTAGACTTTCTCCCTCCACACATAGTGCCCAGCCCGTGGCAGGCAGGCCAAGCTGAGGGATAGAGAAGCCTAGAAGAGACTGAGCCACCCCCTCCCAGTTCTTTGTCTAAACTCAGATAAATCTTCCTCCCCCAGAGAGGAAGGAGTCAAGGGGCTCCTCTGAATTCCTCTCCCTGGAAACCCAAACACGGAAGGAAGAGAACCTGGTCCTCTGGTGTTTTAGAAAGTCATTATCTTACTCAGTCTTTAAAACGACATTGTCGTAGAGTACTCTTATTCCCATTTTATAGCCAAGGAAACTGAGGCTTGGGGAGAGTGAGTCATTTTCGCTAGATGTCTCACCTAGTAAGTTACAAACCTGGCATTCAAACTCAGATCTGTCTGATTCCAAAGTCTATGCCCTTCACTTGTAGTCTCCCATAACCCTGGGGTTAAGGTGGGTGACAGATATGGACTGGAAGAACAGGGCAGGTGAGTGTCAGCGTGAAGTTAACAAGGAGAAAGAGCATTGGGGTACTGGTTGAGGAAAGGCCATGGGAGATGCAAAATGTGGTGCAGAAGAAGCTGTGTCTGCTGGCTGGAGTGGGCAGATGGTGCCTACCCCTTTCCTTCCTGCTGCATCTTCCCCACCCCTGCAGGCTGGTGCAGAAGGCAGAGCTGGTGCGGCTGTCCCAGACCCTGAGCCTGGTGCCCCGGCTGCATTGGCTGCTGGTGGAGGATGCTGAGGGCCCCACCCCGTTGGTCTCGGGGCTGCTGGCTGCCTCTGGCCTCCTCTTTACACACCTGGTGGCCCTCACCCCCAAGGCCCAGCGGCTTCGGGAGGGAGAACCAGGCTGGGTTCGGCCCCGTGGTGTAGAGCAACGGAACAGGGCCCTGGACTGGCTCCGAAGTGGAGGGGGTGCCGTGGGGGGACAGAAGGACCCACCCCCACCAGGGACCCGGGGAGTCGTGTACTTTGCTGATGATGACAACACCTACAGCCGGGAACTCTTTGAGGAGGTGAGCACTGGGATAGGGCTGGGAAAGAGGCCGGGTGGGGCCAGCTTCCTCTGTTGCCTTGGTTACCAACCAGTATTGCTCTAGGCTGTTGGGTGAGGAGGGGGAGCAGTGGGATAGAGTGACCTCAAGTGGTCCTTCCTGCTTCTCCCTTTCCCCTGGGCCACGCCTTGCCTGTTTCTTGTCTCCTGGCCTCTGTTAGATGCGCTGGACCCGTGGCGTCTCAGTGTGGCCCGTGGGGCTGGTAGGCGGCCTGCGGTTCGAGGGCCCTCGGGTACAGGATGGCCGGGTCGTGGGCTTCCACACGGCATGGGAGCCCAACCGGCCCTTCCCAGTGGATATGGCGGGATTTGCGGTCGCCCTGCCCTTGCTTTTGGCTAAGCCCGATGCCCAGTTTGATGCAACTGCTCCTCGGGGCCACCTGGAGAGCAGTCTCCTAAGCCACCTCGTGGATCCTAAGGACCTGGAGCCACGGGCTGCCAACTGCACTCGGGTAAGGCAATGGCAGTGGGTTACATCACTCTGGGGTGGCCAGGTGACAGGAGAAGTGGCGAGGCCCTTGGGAGGAGGACCACAGGATGGGTGTTTGAACCAGGAGGGGCCCTGCAGAACTCAGATGCAACATTGCTCACAGGGAAGCAGGGAGCCAGCGAAGAAAGATCTCCTGTCTCCCAGAGACCTGGGCACCCGTGTGGCACAGAGAGAGTAAGGGATAAAGAGTTACTGAGGCCTCCCCCACCACCCTGCCCTTCACACCTTGCAGACAATGCTCTGTGTGTAGAGGGAGTTGGAGAATCTGGTCTGTACTGAGGGCCCCAGAGGCCTGGCTCTAACGGAAACCCTCCTGGGACAGGTTCTGGTGTGGCATACGCGGACAGAGAAACCGAAGATGAAGCAGGAGGAGCAGCTACAGCGGCAGGGCCGAGGCTCAGACCCGGCCGTGGAGGTGTGATGGACGCCCCACCCCAACTACCACCTCATCAGGCACGGACCTGTGGGACCGGGCCCTGCCTGCAGCTGGGCCTGGCTCTAACGGAAACCCTCCCGGGACAGGTTCTGGTGTGGCATACGCGGACAGAGAAACCGAAGATGAAGCAGGAGGAGCAGCTACAGCGGCAGGGCCGAGGCTCAGACCCGGCCGTGGAGGTGTGATGGACGCCCCACCCCAACTACCACCTCATCAGGCACGGACCTGTGGGACCGGGCCCTGCCTGCCCAGGACGCGGTTTTCCAAGTCCTGACCCCTCAGAGCCAGGGGCAGCCCCTCAGCCCCTTCAGCCCCTTCAGCCCCAGGGTGTGGCCCGGCTTTTCCCCTCCCCCAGCCTGCCATGTGGCACTGCCCACAAGCTGGGGACAAGAGGCCCTTGTTTTGAGCCAGGTCAGCCCTGTCTGGGGCGGGGTGGAGCAAAAGGACAGACAGACTCAGGAGGGAGGGCGGCAGAGTAACTGGGTAACTTATTGGCGCATGCACTGGGGGGCTGGAGGAGCTGGGCTGGACCCTCCCCACCTGAGCATGCTGATCCCCCCTCCCCCGCCCCCACTCCTACCTCCAGAATAAAAAATCTCAACTTTATGGGAACTCTGGTTTCCTTCATTTCCAGTTCTGGTTCTTGCATTCTAATCCTTACCAGGCTCAAAACCTTGGAGTCCTAGCTTTTCTCTCAGAAATCGGTTCTCTCAGGACCCCCACCCTCTTAAAGAGACAGGTCAGTGGCTTCAGCCCAAAAACTTTATTGAGTCTGCACCAGAAGCAGTCTCCAGTCCTTCCAAGGTCACTTTCCCATCACCTTGCTTCTTTCGTCCTCCAGCGGTTCTGGCCACAGGGGCTAGGTCCTAGGAACCTTGGTTTTTTCTCCTACCCAGTCCAGCTCGCTGACTATCCTAACCCCTCTAATCCTAGGGACTCCTCCTTCCCTTGCACCAAGCTCTAGGCCACTAGGCCTCAGGTAGATCCTCCTTAGGAGGTTCCTCTTCTGGAGGGGCCTCCTCAGGTGCTGGCCTGGGGGCAACCCCTCCCTGCAGCCATGCTGTGTTCAGCATGTCTCTCAGCCCACCAGGGAAGAGATAGCCCTGGGTCTCTCCCTCCCCATCGATGACTCCTCCGAGCCCCTCCAGTGCCGTTTGCAGGTACCGCAGGCCCAGAAGCACCAGAGTCTGTGGGGAAAGCAAGGGGAAAGAGGTCAGTGAGGTTCCAGGAGCCCCAGGATTGGAGACAGTGAGGAGACCCAGATGGAGGGAGGCCTCAGACGCTTTGCTGACTCACCTGCAGTAGGAAGGTGACAGCCAGTATGCTGCCCAGTGTGCTTGCCAACCCCTGCAGGTGTCCCAGCAGCACCCCGTGGCATCCTTCGGCCCAGAGGTTTAGGTTGGGCTGACGAGGATTGAAGAGGGGGTGGGCGTGGGGGTCTGAGAGCCGGTTCTGCAGGCAAGGCCTGGGTGAGTGTGGGTTGCAGCAGGAGAAAGGGACCCCATCAATCAGATATAGGCCTTCCACGTTGCTCTGGATCCGGCTGCAAAGATAGGGGCAGGGGTGTTAGGGTGTCTGTAGATAGATGCCTGGGGGAGAAGCTGCAGGGCACTGGCGTTGAGAAGGGAAAAATGAGAGTATGACATTTACCAGAGAGTAGGACATTTACCAACTGCTTTATTATGTGCCAGGCATGCAGATTTCACTTGTTTTCGCAGCAACTCTACAAGAGAGGTGCTATTATCTCCATTCTACAGATGAGGAAATGGGCCCAGAGCAGTTTGGTAACATGCCCTGGGCACTTAGCTGATAAATGGCAGAGCTGTAACCCATTCAATCACTATGCTCTACTTATTGCCTGTCTGGGTGAGGTGGGGTTCCAAGGGAGAAGGAGGAAGGGGAGGAGAAGGAGTAGGAGGAGAAGAGAATAAAGTCACTTACTCAACCACGTCCTGGTCATTGGGATCCAGGTAACGGCTGCTCACCCACTGGATCCCAAACCAATCCTTGTACCCATGGCGACCGCAGCAGTGGTGCCTCAGCTGCAGCTCATCCAACAGCCGTTTGGCATGACAGTGTCCCGGCACCTCTGTGTCCTTGTAGTGAGCCATGGCAGACCCCAGGCCCTCCTCCAGCCCAGAGTTCAGACTCCCAGGTAAAGCCAGGGCTAGCCCCAAGGCAAGGACCAGGAGCCCTCCGCCCCCTGCCGTGCCAGCCATCAGCAGGGGGCCCAGGACCCTTCGCCACGGAGGGTATTGAGCTGCATCCAGACTGGCTCTGCTGGCTCCTGCACCCGCCAGTCCTGTACCCAGAGCCACCGCTCCAGCTGCCAGGGCAACCTGGGGCAGGGCGATGAATGGGCAGGAGGAAGCCAAGAAGGTGCCAAGGTGCCACAGCTGGACCAGGAGGTGCCCACTACAGAAGAGGGTGATACCACCGGTCAGCGACAGTACCCAGGAGAGGAGCCAGAGCCCCTGAGCCAGACGGATGCGGGGCTGGAGGGGCAGCGCCAGGGGCAGCACGGGCGCCATCTCCCATCTCTGCCCAGGGGAGAGCAGAGCTGTCAGGGACGGGTTGACCGGGGCAGGACGCTGAGTCAGCCCAGCCCGGCTTGAGCTGGGCTAATGCCACCCTGACCCCAATACCCTGGGAATCCTCCCACCCCCCAGCCTAAATAACCCAGCGCTCTGTCCTCTGCCCGCCCCAATTCGGGATGCCTCGGCTTTGCCCCTTAGGAAAAGCCCTGCCCCCTGGCCCCGCCCGGAATAGGGGAGGGGCTGGTCGGCTCTGCCTCAAGGGGCTAGGGGCCAGAGGGCGGAGACCTCAGGGCCCGTGCGCCCCTCCCGGGTCTCCAGGGAATACGGGGGCGGGGATCCCGGAAGGGCCGGGAGGGCGGACGCCCAGCGGGGCCCAGGGGGTCAGAGGGTTGGCCCCGCCCGGTACTGAGCCGCGAGGCCCGGACAGGGAGGGGTTACC